AGGAACTTCTGGAAAGCTGCATGGACCTGAGGGGTGAAGGCTGCACCCATCTGACTAGCAACAACAATGGTCAGGCAGTCTGCCAGGAGCTGCAACAGAAAACAGCAGGGGTCAGAAAGCAGAAACATCAACAGCAGTGCTGGGATCACTAGTAGAGAACTGTCTTACATTGAAGTTGTCAGGGTCAACTTGCAGTTTCTCAGAGTGCAGCACGCTAAGATCTTTGTATGTGGTCTTAATGTCATCCATGTTCTTCACAGCTTTCTCCAGACCTGCGAGGACAACCTTTCCATGAGCCGCCACTTTGGGGTTCGATGTTATAGCTGCCGCATTGTAGAGGTTTCCAAAGCCACCAAAGTACCTCTGAGTCCAGGGGTAGACAATCAGACACCTGAGGAGACATGAGCATGCACGTTTTATTTATAGATACTGTATCTCTGCTTGTTTTGCAGAAACACAAAAGAATTATAGTGAAGTCTCACCTGGAGAGAGCAGCTGGGCCAACAACATCATAATCAATTTTGGAGAAGATGTCCTGGATGGTGGCACGCTCAAAGTCTGTCCATTTCACCATTTTGGCTTCTTTTGTTTGATCGTTCCCTTCGTCAGGTGTGGGTTAAACAGGCTCAGGATCTCCAACTTTTAAACAGCCAGTTTCTGCTCCTCCCAAAGTTATCTGATGGGTGGAGTTATGTTAGCTTCTTGATACATTGATTTTTGGAATTGATAAGAAAACACAAAATGACTAACATTAGCACGCAAATCGTGCTAATGGTAAAAAAAAATGTCTCCAAGTTTGACAATTTTTTTTAAATACATTTCACAAGTATTTTCTGATTGCACTACATCAGTGCATTATCAGTGAAACTTAACGTGAGCTTGACGGCAGAAAATCAGCTTTTGTGAAAAATTGCAACATATCTGACAGCAACTTTCTATTAAAACTTCACTCCATTAAAATAACGGCTTATATTTGGATGCTAATATTGCAGCTTTTTAAGACATTCATTGTCCTTTCTTTACATGTTAAAAAGAGGAGAAACAGTATCAGATAAATGCCTAAACAATTTAAAATGTTTAGGCATTTATTGTTTAAGAGATAAACTGCAAAAGTCAGGGCAGAAAAAGATCATTTTAAAAGGACAGCTTGTAAGTTGTTCAAATAAATTATTTTTGAGATTGAGATTTTCTTTTTTAGCTGAGCCATATAAGAAGTAATTTCTGGATGTTTTAAACTTTTAGTTTATTCAGTCTGAGAATTACTCTTAAACAAAGACTAAATAAGTCAGCTCTCGGTGTAAAAAATCTTATTCTTTTGTCAACTACATACTTTTTAAAATCTTACAACCTTGTAAAATTGTTTAACTTATGAAGCTTTGTAATAATAGGCTTTAATAAAAAAAAAAACTAATACAACGGTTATTTTCTCAAATTTTGGACACATTATTAACTCCTTAAAAACAAAGTTTTTCATCCTGCTGAGAGCTGAAGAAACATATGAATGAAACTGAATCTCATAATATGTTTTATTTCTATAGGGTCTGCTTCCTCACAAAGTGCTGTTAGATCATTCTAACTTTTTCAGGGTGATAAGGCAGCACTGATCTGAACCATCCCTTCTTT